GTAGCTGACATGCACAGGTACTTTGTGGTGACATGGGAGAAGATGGTGACCAGACAGTGTGGTGATTTTCCCAGGGTGGTGGACACGCTGGCAATTTTTACTTTATTCCTTATACTTTTTGGCTTTTTTTGTTTGTTTGTTTTAACAATGAACATGTATTTATATAATTAAAAAAAAAAGCAATTTTACTATTTTCATTAAGTGGTTGGAAAAGCAAGGTGCAGGACTTTGTGGAAAAAAAATATAAGTAAATAGTAATGTACATTTTGAATTTTCCATAAGCCCCCCCCCCCCCCCCCGCCCCAGTTTAATCAGAAACTATTAATAGTTGTTTCCTTTTCAGAAGAGGTCTAGGTAGGTGGATGGGGGCGGGGAAGTGTTCACTTTTTGTTTTGTATACCTTTTAAAAAATATATCAACAAAGATTATCTGGTGTATGGACATACAAAAAGGTGTGGGGGTGGCTTCATCTGACCTCTAACTTCACAAGGGAGAAAGAAGAACATCAACAGCCCATGGCTGATTCCTGTGAGGCAGAGGTCAGACATGCTGTCACTCTCTAACTTTTTTTTTTTAAACCAATTCTGACCATCCCTCCCATGTCGTTCTTTATTTCTTTGCTGGGTTCTATAACAGTTGCAGTGGCTACACAGAACTCACAGACAGTGAGCTTTTTTGCTATTTTGGCTCCTGCCCAAGGACACTCTGCTTTCTTGCTCAGTGAGCTGGCAAGCCTGCTGCTCTGTCTCATGCTGGTCCCTTGGTTCTGTTGCCTCTGTTTCCGCCATCTCTCTGCCACCTCCGTGCAGGGATCTCGGATCTAAGGATGTGCGCCACTCCCAGCTTTTTTCTCTCGATGGCAGTGAGATCCCCCCTTTTCCACCTCTGGGATGGCTCATTTGAAGCAATGGCAAAACTGACCAATCCCCATGTTAGGGTTGTTGTTGTTGTTGTTGTTATTTACCATCGAGTCGGCCCCGACTCATAGCAACTCCTCCTTGGGTTTCCGAGGCAGTATCACTACGGAAGTAGGAATGCCCAACCTTCCTTCCAAGGAGTGGCTGGTGGGTTTGAACCGCCAGCCTTCTGGTTAGCAGTCAAGTGCCTTAGGCACTATGCTACCAGAGCTCCTTAGGGTTACATACACATTATTTGCATGATCCCATCCCCACAAGGGTGCTGTGTACCTTATTTACATTGTTAGCAAGCTATCCAATCCCCTTGGTGGGGCATAGATACCTTACATTTGCATAATCCCATCCTGTCATCTGGTGGGTGTCATAAAGTCATGGCTAGAAGAGCCATATTAAGTAATTTGCTGCACCACAGGAGTGAAGGAACATGGGTCCAATTTTTGCCGCCTTTCTAGCTCTGAGTTTTATAAGAAAAGAAATCTCATGTAAATGTCCCTCACTTTTCAGAATTAAGGGAAATGACAGAATGTTCCTGACACTGAGGAAGTGTGGTACAAGGGCTGTGTGGTGTGTGTGTGTATGTGGGAGAGTACTCAATTCTGGAAGTGTGATAGGTATGAGTGGGTGTTGAGGGGTGCAGAGGGTTTTGGCAGGATCACAGCCTGGCAGGGCCTCTAGACACATATTCCAGAGCTTATGGTATGAGGGGCATGTTTATTTTTCCTAGGGATGTTGATGATATTTTCCATATTGTATCACTATTATTGCTATCCTTTTCCAAAATATTATACCACCATTAGCATAAACTCAGTGCCCCACAAACAAAAGCTTCTTGTGAGGGGGATTTTAAGGGAAGAAGCAAGGCCTGATTTAGCTTTGCATTGTCTGGCCCTAGGAGGAGTTGGAGGGGCAAGGCTTGGGATGAGGCTCCCAGTTAGATGGCCCCTGTGTGACCCATAGGAGGAAAGATGAGCTCCAGTGAGGGTTTAATAGAGGAGATAGAGAGGTGGCCATTGTCCAGAGATACTTAGGGGGCTTAGTGACTAGGTGTGGGTGGGAGAGAGTGGGAGGGGTCCCAGATGACTCCACTGTTTTCTCACGTCAGCACCTGCATAAGAGGGAACATGAAGGAGAAAGAGGAGGAGGTGGAAGAGCTGGTTGGAAGTCAGGGAGGAGAGAGCCTAGGGGAGGGACATGAAGGGGTGGGTGGGTGACAGAAATAGAATATCGAGCTGGTTCAGCTCAGTTTGGTGAGGCTGGATGGAGGCTGAGGATAGGTGGAGAACTTGGAGAGTCAGGGCTTTATCTGAGGGAGAGGGGAGAGGAATGCCTTCTCCCAGCATCAGAGAGGGAAGAGGAGCCATAAGGAGCCTCAGGCTCTTCTCATGTCTGGCTCCTTCTTATCCTTGAAATCACAGCTGAAATGTCACCACCCCATCTCTGTTAGTCCTGTTACTTCTGTCATCAAACCAAACCAAACTCTCTGTCTTAGAGTCGGTTCCAACTCATAGCGACCTCTCCTTGGATTTCCTACGCGGTATCTCTATGGAAGTGGATTGCCCAGTCTTCCTTGCGAGGAGTGACTGGTGGGTTTGAACTTCCAATCTTCTGGTTAGCAGTCAAATGCCTTAGGCACTATGCCACCAGAGCTCCCACTCACAGTGATATGTTTATTTGCTTTCTTAGACTTATCATGATCTGTCATTATTTGTTAACTTGTTTATTTCCTTGAAAGCAGCCATGTCTGTCTTGGCTACCGCTAACTTCAAAGCCTCTAACATAGTGCTTAGCACACAGTAGGCACCCAGAACATGTTTGTTTACTGATTAAATAAGTGAATGACAGAAGTAGCAGCCAGAGAGGCAGGAGGAAAACTAGGAGAGTGTTGTATCAGGGGGAAATTAAAGAGGGTCAGTGTGAATGCCTCAGTGAGAGTCAAGTATCTGATCTGGCAACACGGAGGCCCCAAGCTTCTGGTGAGCTCAGTAAGAGCAGGAGAGGATGGGGGTGACTCTCCCTCTAGCTGTAATTGACTCAGTATTCCTGAGTAGGAAGCAGGGGGGTCTGTGTAGGTTGGGTGTCTGCAGGTGGGGGCTGACCCCAGAGACTCTGGAAGCCACTGTGGTCAGTCAAGTCTCTGCTCAAATGCCCCTCCTCCTTCAGAGAGCTCTCTCTCTGACCACCCTCTGCCCATGTGCATCACACCGTTTTATGTTCTTTAAGTTACTTCTCACTGTCTAAAATTCTTATTTGTAACCCTGCACCCTGTGTAAGTTCCCCTGACCACCAACAGAGAGCTCTCCCTGACTACTCTCTACCCACGTGCAGACCACTGTACCCCGTTTTGTCTTCTTTAAGTTACTTCTGACTGTCTAAAATTTGTATTTGTAACTCTGCACCCTGTGTAAGCTCCCCCAGAGTATGGACATGCCTCTTTTTGTTCACTGTTGTATCCTCATGTGTGATATAGTGCTTGGTACGTAGTTGGCACTTGTCTAAGTTATCTAGTGCTGCTATAACAGAAATACCACAAATTGGTGGCTTTAACAAACAGAAATTTGTTTTCTCACTGTTTAGGAGGCTCAAAGTCCAAATCCAGGGCACTAGCTCTAGGGCAAGGCTTTCTGCCTCTTTCAGCTTTGGGGGAAGGTCCTTGTTTCCTTTCAACATCTGTGGGCCTGGTGTTCGTTGGAGATCTCCACGTGCCTTGGCCTACATCTTCCCCTGGGTCTAGGAGGTTCTCAGTGCAGGACCCTGGGTCCAAAGGTTGTGCCACCCTCCTTCTTTCTTAGTGGTACCGAGGTCCCCCCATCTCTCCTCAATTCTTTATCCTTTTATCTCTTATAAGATAAAAGGTCCTGCAGACCACACCCTCTCCTGTGCATGTCATCAGGAGAGACCCATCCCTGGAGAAGGACATCCTACATGGTAATGTAGCCAAACCAAACCAAACCCACTGCCATTGAGTCGATTCTGATTCATAGCCACCTCCATTGAGTTTCTGAGGCAGTAAATCTTTACAGAAGTAGGTTGCCCCATCTCCGTCTGCGGAGTAGCTGGTGGGTTTGAACTGCAAACCTGATTAGCAGTTAAATGCCTTAGACACTGCACCACCAGAGTTCCTTTGGTGAAGTAGAGAGTCAGCCAAAAAGAGGAAGACCCTCAATGAGATGGATTGACACAGTGGCTGCAAAAGTGGGTTCAAACATAGCAACAATTTTGGGGATGGTGAGGGACCGGGCAGTGTTTCGTACTGTTGTACATAGCATCGCTAACAATAGCAAAGGCCACACCCCAGGGAAACTCCCCTACCTTGGATCAGTGTATGACCTGAGTAAGGGCATTACATCCCACTCTAATTCTTTTACAACTGATTGGCTGATCATATCAGATCACATCATGGGGGATCATTACATCATTACATAACTGCCAAATTACATCATTATGGAACTGCCAGACCACTGAGAATCATGGCTTAGCTGAGTTGATACATATTTTGGGGGGACATAGTTCAATCCTTGACAATACCTAATAATCTATGGAGTGCATGAAAGAATCTTCCCTTTCAGATGTGGCCATCAGCTACAGCTCCAACCACCAGGGAGGGACAAGGTCTTCCTAAATTTCCACCCTCCCCTGGAGTTGAGTATCAGATGCAAGTAGGCAGCCTATGCTGGGTGGGCAGAACCGTGTTTTACCTGTATGGTCCTAGGCAAAGCACTTCCCCTTTCTGAGCCTCAGTTTCTTTATCTGCACAATGGGAATAGTAATGAAACTTATTCAAAACATGGAGTGCACCAGCATGTACCTGGTACTCAGTAGGCAGCTATGGAGGTGTTGTTTGTAATTATCTAATAATCAGCTGACCTGCAGTGGACATCCCCTCCAGGAGGCTTCCAGAGGAGGTATCTCTATACTGTCCAGGAATGGCAAAGGCCTGTCCAGGCTGGGAAGTGTTCATGTGTCAGAGCTGTGGGTGGCTGTCTGGTCATGATGTATATGGTTAAGGAGTATGAGTCATGCATGTCTGTTTAGTTATGTTGGGCCTTTGTAGAGTGGGGGACTGATCCAAGTGTGTCCCCTCAGAATCCTGACCTGGACTCAGAGGCACTGCTGGCCCTGCCGCTGCCACAACTGGTGCAGAAGTTACGCAGTGGGGAGCTGTCCCCTGAAGCGGCACTTTTGACCTACGTGGGAAAGGTAAGGCTAGCCAAAGCCAGCCAGTGATTCTTCCAGCTTCATCTCCTCCTGCTCACTACACAGGCTATGAGGAAAACCTGGCCTGGAGTAGTTCCTTCTGAGGGCCATTGTGGGAACCACCGTGCCAGGGGCTGCCAGGGAGGTATGGAACCAGAGCTGATAAGCTTGTCTCTGTGTGTGTGTATGTGTGTCAGAGAGAGAGAGAGAGAGACAGACAGACAGACAGACAGAGACTGACTATGTATATGACATACAGCATGTTGTCTTAGCCAGAAGCCTGGCTTTCAGCTCAGATTTCCTTCTCCCTCCAGTCTTCACTCCATCTGGCACAAAGTCACTGTTTGTTTCTTAAATCTCTCTCCAGTCCTTCCCCTTGTCTCTTTCCCATTCAGTTACTTGGTCCTCTACTACCAGCTTTCTCCATGACCAAGCACCAGCCTCCTGGGCAGATACTCTCTCAAGTCTTCCCTCCCCTGGCTGAGAGCCTACTACCAGGCCTAGCTCTGCCACTTCTCCTCTCTCTCCAGTATCATCTCTGGCCCTGCCCTCCTGGAGCCCTGTGGGGCACAGTAGCTCAGCTATTAGTAACTTTCTTGTGCCCAGGGCCTGCTATGCTCTGTGCTGGATTGTGTGGGGTTCCGTTTGCCTGGAAGGCTCTTTCCCCTCTTTGCCCCACTCAGTGACACAGGTTCTTGGCTGAGTCTTTAGGGCTCAGAGCAGGAGTTGCCTCTTCCAGGAAGCCTTCCCTGACCCTCTCCTCTTTCCAGCTTAAGTTAGGGTTTCCTCTTCAGTGATGGCTTTCTAGTGGCACATTTAGAACCCATATCTTTTCTGCATCAAGTGTGGGCTCTCTGTGAACAGAGCTTGTCTTGATTGCCTTTTCACCTTAGTGCTGAACACATACATGTCTTTCACATAATAAGTGCTCAGGAAATAGGTTTGAAATGATAGGAAGAATGAATGAACAAATGAATTGTGCTTTGTGAGTATGAACTTTGTGTACGATTTCTTGAAAGTGTGTGACAGTGTGACAGTGAGCATGACCACTAAGCAGGTGAACGTGAGTGTGTGATTGTGTCAGGGTGTGTGAAAGTGGTGTAAGTGACCACAGCTGAGACTGTGTGACAAGGAGGAAGAGACTAGCTGACCATAGAAAAAGGTTGGGAAACCCTGGGCTGGATGACCCTGAAAGGGACAGTCTCAACAGATGATGTTGCCTCTTTCTGAACAATACCCCTTACAAGTTTCCTGCCCTTCCTAGTCATCAACAAGAGAGCATCTGGTTGGCTGGTTACAGATTGGCCCCTTCCCTTCCTGCCTTGGGTAGACTGGGGACAGATTTCAGGAACGCCTACACACAGGCCAGAGTGACGCACACCCCTTTCTCTCTGGTGTTTTACAGGGATGAACAGGAGTATTTACGAAGAGCTACCCACTCTCTGCCCTGATCTTCCCACTCCTGTTGTTGTTGTTATGTGCTGTCGAGTCAGACCCAACTCATAGCGACCCCTCCTTGGGTTTCCGAGGCAGTATCACTATGGAAGTAGATTGCCCAACCTTCCTTCCGAGGAGTGGCTGGTGGGTTTGAACCACACTATTAAAGGTGGTTTGAGGGCTCTGGAAAGGCCCTGTGCCAGACATCCCACTATTAGTGTGCACCAGTCCTTTTAGTTAAGCTCTTCTCCTATTTCCACAACCAGTGTCCTCTGTGTGCTTTGGTGATCAGACACCAGAGTTCCTGGAAGAGGGGAAGCTTAGGTGGGCAGGCATGGGGTGAGGAGAGAGTGCTGGGCTCTGGAAGGTTAGAGTCTGGGTTCTAGCCCAGACTAGCTCTGCACTGACTCCCAGTGTGACGTGTGAGGGAGGTCTGGATTCTGTCTGCCTCCAGAGACAGAGATGTGGCTTGGAGGAGGAGGGAGCATGGCCAAGGGCCTTCCTCTTCTCAGTTCATCCACTGCTAGGGAGTGTCTGAAGCCAGAACCTCACACCTTTGGGTGTCCTGGCTGTATTGTCTCCCCTAGTCTTAGAGTTGTAGGCCAAGACAGCCAGGGTAAGGCTAGGGGCAGAGGTTCCCAGTTATGTGGGTGCTGGGCCCTAGGTTATCCTCTGTGCCCCAGCTCTAGGCCTTGTTGCTGGTTACCCTTCTTCTGGGTATACCTTCAAGGGCCAGCCTCACCCTGCCTTGTGCCCATTACCACCTTCCACCCCCAGGCTTGGGAAGTGAACAAAGAGACCAACTGTGTGACCTCCTACCTGGCTGACTGTGAAACTCAGCTGACTTCAGCAGGCCTGAGGCAGGGCCTGCTCTATGGAGTCCCTGTGAGCCTCAAGGAGTGTTTCAGCTACAAGGTAAGCCCTGCTTCCCGGAACCCTTCAGTATCAGGTCCCCACTCCCCTCCCCACCTCACACTTGCCTGTCAGCTCTGCGTCTGGGCTACCCTGGGTCCTCAGGGAAGGTCCAGAGGCCTTGAGGGGGTCCACAGATCCAACTTTCCTTGGCCCTTGTGGTGGTAGATTGGAGGGGAGGGAGGCTGGGCTGCTGAAAGGTTCCTGATTCATCAGCCATGTCCCTCTTGGTGTCTGTCCCTCTTGCCAGGGCCAGGACTCAACACTGGGCTTGAGCCTGAACCAGGGGGTGCCGGCAGAGTATGACAGCGTGGTGGTACAGGTGCTGAAGCTGCAGGGTGCTGTACCCTTCGTGCATACCAACGTCCCCCAGTCCATGTTCAGGTTGAGTGTCAGGGATATGGAATAGGGGCAGGGACACCAGGACCAGCATGATAAGGAACTTACTTCTTCCTGTTTCCCCCAGCTATGACTGCAGCAACCCCCTCTATGGCCAGACCACCAACCCACGGAACTGCTTCAAGAGCCCAGGTGGCTCCTCAGGGGGTGAGGGGGCCCTCATTGGGGCTGGAGGCTCCCCCCTGGGCTTAGGCACTGACATTGGTGGCAGCATCCGCTTCCCCTCGGCCTTCTGTGGCATCTGTGGCCTCAAGCCCACGTCAGACCGCCTCAGGTTTGGTGCAGGTGGTGGGTGGAGGGAGCTTCTGGGTCCCTAGTTGTGTGACCCTGGCCTATCTTCCAACTTCCCTAGGCTCAAGGCAGGGATTTACTCACAGGGTTTTGCCGGGAGGGAGTGTCACAGCACCATTGGCCCTGGTTCCTAGTTTCCAATACAGAGAGAATTCTGAACTGCTATTTGATGTGGGCATGGGCAGAGGGTGGCTGTTTCCTGCTCCTACATCTTGTATTTCTTATCCAGCAAGAGTGGCCTGAAGGGCTGTGTCTATGGACAGGTGGCAGGTGAGGTCTATGGTTCCCTCTGTGCCCTGGAGGAGGGTGGGGGTCTGCCTGATCCACCTCTGCCTCTGCTTTTCCTGTGAGCGATTTCTGGCCACCAGATCATTCTAGGTCTGAGTCCCTACCTCCTTATCTCTGCTCATGTCCTTGCTTGGACCCTGCCCCAGAGCCCACTGGGATCGGGTGACCCTTGTTCCCTACCCGCTTCCCTCCCCTCCCTGCCCCACAGTCCCGCTCTCAGTTGGCCCAATGGCCCAGAATGTGGAGAGCCTGGCGTTGTGCTTGCGAGCCCTGCTCACTGAGGACATGTTCCGCTTGGACCCTACTGTGCCCCCCGTGCCCTTCAGGGAGGAGGTGAGTAGGGGTGGAGGGTGGACACTGGGTTGGAGTCGGTTATCATTGGTACTGGAGAATACAGATACACCCCCAGGCCATGTGGGCAGGCCTTGGAGGTCTCTTCTGGAAACCACCTCCTGTGGGTCTGAAGCCAGGCACAGCTTGTGCTCCACAGATGGCCACCAGATGGAGCCCTTGCCTGAATTTGGAAACTTCAAATTGCAAATTGCAAGTTGCATTTTAGCTCAGCTTTGCTCCTCACTCTGCAGAAAAAAAGGCCCGCCCATCTGGCCCCAGCCTCTGCTGTTGTCTTTGAGAAATGGGTGTAACGAAACCACTTTGCAGTTTAACTCCTTGAGGATGAACTCCTGTACCTTGGCTGTGTTTGACCCTCAGTAAACAGGACTTACATGATACATATTCAAACTCCAGCATGCTTGCTATATGATGCTTGGCACATAGTAGGCTCAGTGAGTGAAGGACAGTTATAAGCAGAGCTTCCCCCTCCCAGAGAAGGTTGATCTCTGTGGGCAGTGTCCAGTGCTCAAAAAAGAAAACACCTCACTGCCATTGAGTCAATTCCAACTCATACTGACCCTCTTTGGGTTTCTGAGGCAGTAAATTTTATGGAAGTAGATTTCCCAGTCTTTCTTCCATGGAGTGGCTGGTGGGTTTGAACCACTGACCTTCTGGTTAGCAGTCAAATGCCTTGCCCACTATACCACACCAGAGCTAGCTGTTTAACCAGCTGAGTTTATCTGATCCACAGGTGAGGGAGAACCCTGTCTCCACAGAGTCTGAGTAGCCTCTCAGAGGGGGAGGACAAAGTTGGGATATTTATTGAGATTCTGAAGTCTGGTTTAAGGCAGATTTTTCAGTGTAGGAGTATGGTTAGGATTGGTAAGAATCATATAATAGTTTAGGATTGATTGACACAGGAGAATTTTGAGGTGAGGGGTTCAAAGAGTCTTGGGTAGAAACTATCATTTGATGCTTTCTGTTGAAGGGTTGATGAGTCTTTGAGGAATGAACAATAAACAATAAAATATTTATTGAGCAAGAGTATTAGGAGTAGTGATGAAGGTAGGTTGATAAAGACAGTGGAACGGTAAAGGCGTGTTAGTGTAGACAGTTAGCTGTATAATGGTTCCATTTCTTGACAGTTTGGCATTTCTTGCTTTAGTACAGACCTCTTGCCCTTACCACAGCTGAGGTCATCTTGGACGGGCTGAGGGTGCCTCGACAGGAAAGTGGGCCTTGGCTTGGTATTCCTTGGGAGTGGGGCAAGAGGGTGAATGTGGGCTAAGAAGGTGAGCTCCCCTTCCCCAGCAGAGAGGGATGCTGTAGCCAGGAACCCCTTCAAGAAAGTAAGAAGGGAAGGAAGAGAGGAGGTCCCTACGTAGGAGTCTAGAACAGTTTATCATGGGAGCTAGGACTCACATTCTCGAAACAAGCAGTGGAAAACTTTGGTTCAGGAGTCAGGATGCCTGGGTTGCAGACCCAGCATTGTCACTCTGTGTTGGGTTGCCTTGGGCAAGTCCCAGCCCCATGGTGGGCCTCAGTTTCCTCAAAAGACCAGTGGGAATCCTTATAATTGTTCTGCCCACTTGCTCAGTCATTGTCAAGGTGTTTTTGTGAAAGGGTCAAATGCAGAAGGGTAGCCTTGCTGGGGATCATTGTTTTCAGGGCAAACAGCACCAGAGCCATCCAGGTTAGAGGCTCACGGTTGTGCCTGATTGGGGTGGAGAGGGGTTTCTCTGATTTCCAGGAGCCCTGCCTGGGGCTTTCCTCCTTTCCTCATCTGACCCTGACTGCTGCGTTTTGCCCCCAGGTCTACACAAGCACTCGGCCCCTGCGCGTGGGATACTATGAGACTGACAACTATACTATGCCCACCCCAGCCATGAAGCGGGCAGTGTTGGAGACTAAGGAGCGCCTTGAAGCAGCTGGCCACACAGTATGGCCATGGGAACCTGGAAGTTCTGGCATTTTTCCATCCTAGTTATTCATTCTGTGGTTGGGAATGGGAACTGGGTCCCTATGGGACCAGTGTACAGAGGAATGACCAGGAGTATTGTGGGGAGTGATTGAGACCAGTGATGTTTGAGCACTGCGTTTGGAGGGCCTTGTCAACCACAAGCAATAGTGCACAGCTTTCTAGAGGTTTCTGGGGCCCTGGGATTATGGGTTTTGTTCTGTTCATCTGAGGCAACTTTATGTGTGGCTCCAGACATCTCTCATGATAGGCATTTTATAGTTTTCATGGGTCTGTAAAGCTGCTTTTTTTGCTCCATTGAGGATTATCTTGTGGATAGAGTTGGTCCAGTCCATCCTCAGGGCCACCTGGGCAGCATGGGGTATATGGAAGTCAAGGGCTGCTAATTCTGAGAGCTCTGCACCCCTCAATCCTTTTTAGCTGGTTCACTTCCTGCCAAATGACATATCCCATGCCCTGGAGACCCTGGCTGTAGGTGGGCTATTCAGCGATGGTGGCCACCACTTCCTGCAGAACTTGTGAGTGATGTTGGGCTTTTGGTGGGATCAGGAGGTAGGCAGGCCCGCGGACATGTCTATCCTGGGTCAGAGAGAACAACTAGGTGCTCTGACTCCCAGTCTGGGTGGGTCTCAGCTGAACACGAAGATCTGAGCATTCTGGGCAGGGGCCTCACTGTCCCTGCGACTGTCAAAGTCGAACCTGGGGATACTTTGCCAGGGAGGCTGAGCTTATTGTGAGGGCAGAGGTGGGCAGGGAGGTTGCCTGTCCAGTTAGGAAAGATTGTAAGACAAGGGGCAGGAGCAAGGGAGGAGGGGAGGAGATCCTGGACATTATGCTGTGATTCCAGGCTCTGCCTGACTTAAGGCAAGTCTTTCCCTTTTGAGCAGGACCTCGTGAAGTAATTGAGTTGGATCAGACCCATTTAACAGGACTTTACAGAGCTCATGTTTAGAGAAGCTGGTTCCTCTTGGCTGTTTTCAGTCTTTAAGTGTTGGCTGTGGTAGAGAGAACAGGCCTCTGAAAATGCCTCTTGGGGACAGACCTGGGCCAGTGTTACTGGTGCCCCTCAGACTATCAGCCTGCATCCTCTGCCTTGCCTGTGGGGAGGCTTGGCCCTGTGGCCTACTCAGTCAAGGGCCCAGCCAGTGGTATTTCTCCCCCTCCTCTAGCAGCTGAAGATGGTCCAGGCTTCAATGAAGAGCGCTCTCCCTTCACTCTGGCCTGGGGAGTGAGGCCCCAGAAATATTCCCTGAGATCTTGAATCAGAGACAGCCTTAGGGATAAGACACATGGGTGGCCCTCTCTGGACCACCCCACTTGTGCCTCCTGGCTGGCATCATTATCAAAAGGGGATGCCCTCAGTATCAAGCCCTGATTGAGGGGATGTTACCCTCAGTCCTTACTACTTTGAGCTGGATTTTTCAGGGAAGGAGACATGGAGTCCTCCCTTGAGGTATTACAGTAGGTGTAGAGTAGTACCCAGGAACCTAATGGGTCAACAGAGACAAAGCACATGTTTGATAGGAGGCAAATGAAGGGGTTGGAGAACAGTGTTTACTGCAGTCTGGTGAGGAGGCTGGTAGACAGGGTCACTGAGTAGAGACTAGGGAGATGTGGTGGATGGGGGTAAGTCAGGAGAGATGCCTCGGATAGGAGTGCCCTGGACTAGACTCTTTGTCTTCCAGCAAAGGTGACTTTGTGGACCTCTGCTTGAGGGACCTGATCTTAATTCTGAAGCTGCCCAGATGGCTTAAAGGACTGCTGGCCTTCCTGTTGAAGCCGTTGGTGAGGGTGCAAGGAATGGGAGGGACCAGGGTTGTTGGAGTGGGTGGGAGCCTCAGGGAGCCTTCTAGTGCAGGATACCCTATGGCCACTGGCTCTTTTCCCCTTTTCTCATTCTTTCTTGGTTTGGGCAGGCATAGCATCCTTCTCTCTCCAGCTTCCACCCCAGACTCCTTACCTTCTCCCCCTCCCCTTGCAGTCTTCAGCCACCGTGCATGCAGGAAAGGGATGCCACCTTGGGAGCTGAGGAGAGAAACAAAGGGAGGAGGCACAGGTGGCTTGGCCCGAAGAGATTGTTGTCAGGGCCCAGCCCAAACCAGTCATTGATTCTGTGTCTTCCCTTCTGTAGCTCCCAAGGTTGGCAGCTTTTCTCAACAGCATGAAGTCTCGGTAAGAATACTTTTATGCTCAGATGCCTCTCCCCGTCTTTCCCCTGACCTGTGTCTTAGTGGTTTCTCACAGGAAGAGGCTGGAGGGAAGTAGCTTCTAAGGCTAGAAGCAAGCCAGACAGGGTGGCAACCTCTGTGATCTTTAGTTGGGACCTTGACATTGTATCTTTGCAGGGACAGCCTGCAGGGCCCAGGTCTGGAGAGCAAGGACCTGAGGGAGATGAGGGCATAAGAGAGAGGACTCTGTAGGACAGGGTATGGAGAAGGGAAGATTGGTCTGGTAGAAAGGACCAGAAGAAGTTGGGCTGGGGAGGGAGTGCTGGATGCTGGGAAATTCAGGAGACATGTTGTTCGCAGAGCTTGGAACTCAACTGAGCTACACCAGGTCCTGCCTGGCCCTTAGTGGCTCAAGATGGAAAGGCATGGCATGAACCACCCCATTTTCAGGCCCTCATATCTTGCAGTGGCATGCCTTCTCTGAGCCCCACACATTCAGGATCTTAAACAGCTTTGGCCTTGCCTGTGTTCTAAAAAGTAGCTGGCAATCAGGCTGGCCTAGTCCTAGCTCTGCTGTGGAGTCACTGAGTTAATTCCCTCTTGGGACCTGGTTTTCTCAACTGGACAGCAGGGATTTGAACTTCTGCTTGCTCTACTTCCCTCTCTGAGCTCCCATAGGGCTAGGAAGGGTCCCTGGAGGAGTGAGATCTGGAAGATGTTAAAGAGCAGGGGGTCTGGTGTTCCTAATCCCTTTGGCTGTGATCCTCATGGTCGATGACCTCACTCCCTCTGCCCAGGTCGGCTGGACAGCTCTGGGAACTGCAGCACGAGATCGAGGTGAGGCCAGAGCCCCTAGACTAGGGCAAAGTGGGGGCAGAGGGTGGAATTGGACAGAGTACCTACCAGCAGGATCTCTTGGCCACTGGTGTCCTGGAGCAGCATGTCACTGCCCCCTCTACTCTTTGGACTGGCCTTCTGGGCCCTACTCTTTGATCCTCACTTGTCAAGATAGTCAGTCCTGGGTGCTGAGTCAGTCTGGGGGTGCTGTTCTGGGTGTCTCCTTGCCCCTCTGGGGCTGCTTGTGGCTGTGCAGTGCATGACTGTGCCTGACAGGAAGAGTTGTGTCTGTGATTCATGAAGAAGATAGAGCTACTGATGCCCATGAAAAGCAGCCACTGCCTGCCTGCCTGGAGGACTCTCTCTGTGGCTCAGCTCAGACCCAGGGGCAGGTGCTGGGGCCAGAGCTGCACAGCTGCTGTCCCTTCATGGGAGAACCTACATGAGCTGTCTCCGAACACTGCTGCCTGGTGTGCCGTCTCCTCCTCAGGTGTACCGCAACACTGTGATTGCTCAGTGGAGAGCACTGGACCTCGATGTGCTGCTGACCCCCATGCTGAGCCCTGCTCTAGACTTGAATGCCCCAGGCAAAGCCACAGGTGAGGGCTGCTGCTCCACCCCTGCCCCTGACACCCCCTGCCTGTCCCTTCTCTTCTGTGAGTCTAGCCCTGTGTTGGGGGCAGGGCTGCCGAGAAGTAGAAGAGGAGGAGCCCCAGGGCAAAGGAGCTCACCCTTTGGGGGCCTACAAGTCTGGATGGCTGGAGAAGTAGGCAGCCCTGGGAGGGAATGAGCACTGTGCAGTCAGGGAAGCTTTTGAGGCTCTCAAGTTTCAGAGTCTGTGGTTTAGGGAGGTGGTGTTTAAAGTAAATAGGAACCATATTCAGGTAGGGAAAGCAACATGGGCAAAGGCACAGGGCAAGTGTCAGCAGGCTTTCCAGTCTTGACTTGAAATCTGGATCCCTGGTCTTTGCTACTCAAATCTCAGCCCTGGGAGAGAGTCTTTTTCTGCCTGTGGAGGGCGGATGCTATTTCACAGGGTAGAGTACTGAGACCCAGAGAAGGCAGTTGGCACTGGTGGGCACATGGCCTGCTCCAGCCACCTGTGATGTGTTCCAGGAGCCGTCAGCTACACAATGCTCTACAACTGCCTGAACTTCCCTGCGGGGGTGGTGCCTGTCACCACGGTGACTGCCGAGGATGAAGCTGGGATGGAAGATTACAAGGGCTACTTTGGGGATATCTGGGACTGGATGCTCCGGAAGGTGAGGCCAAGAGACCTGGCCTGCCTGGGCCCCCGACCAGACTCCACTTTCCCCTGGATGCACACCCCTACTCCATTTGTAGCCACTGTGGGAGAGACCAGTCAATACTTGCAGTCTCACCGGTCCTTCTGAAAGCCAGCCCCCAAAGCCTGGCCTGACCCGGCTCTGCTGCCCTTCCTCTCCAGCTGGGGCATGCCTGAGCTTTGGGTGTGTTCCTGCCTCACTCCCTTTATCCTGATACCTGTGTTCCCTGCAGGCGGTGAAGAAGAGTGTGGGGCTGCCTGTGGCCGTGCAATGTGTGGCGCTGCCCTGGCAGGAAGAGCTGTGTCTGCGTTTCATGCGGGAGGTGGAGCAGCTGATGCCACGTGAAAATTGGCCATCTTGACTGCACTCTGCCTACTTGCCCGTCGCTAGAGGACCTACTTAATCTGAGGCCCAGCCTAGTCAGCGCAGCTGCCACCCACCCTGCGAGGATATATCTAGCATGGGGCTGAGGCCTCCATGTTCCCCCGCTCTCCAAACCCCTGGAAAAAACCCAGATCTCCTCAGTATGGACCTTACTCCCACCTCTGGTCCCCTCTCTCTGACCTGTCTCCCCATTGTGGCAGCCAGTGTGTATGACATGGGCAAAGGCCCATTAACAACCAAGACAATTTCCTAGCCTGTGTACTTTCTGGGTGTCATAGAGCCACAGGGGTTGGAGCCTGCTGAGAGTATGGCTGGTTTGATCTGCTAAAGCCCAGCTCTAGCCAAGTCAGTCTCTTGCTCTAAAACCTCCCTGGTGCCCATCACCCACATGAGGGACATAGACTTCTCAGAAAGGGTTTTGCAGGCCTCAACATCTCACCACTATGCCTCCTCTCCTGCTTAGATTAAGCCCTACTTTGCTGGACACTGCCCATTCCCTTCTTCCTTCCTTTTCTCCTTTTGTCTGTCAAGAATACCCTTTCTGTTTCTCTACCATTAAATCCTTTGAGGCCCAGATTTCTTTCCAGGAGCCTTCTTTATCCAAGAGCCTTCTACAATTTCTCCCCTGGAAGAGTTCCTTCTTAGCCCCTGATGTGTGTGGGCTGTTTCCTTCCCAGTCTGCCTGGATGGGTCTGCCTGAGTGAGTGAGTCTGCCTCTGTTAGCACGCTGGCTCTCCTCAATGGCAGAGACCCCATCGCCACATGGTCTGTACTTAAAAAAAAAAAAAAAAAAAAATTACTGCCATTGAGTTGATTCAACTCACAGCGACCCCTTCCTGGGTTTCCAAGCCAGTATCTCTATGGAGGTAGATTGCCCAATCTTCCTTCTGAGGAGTGGCTGGTGGGTTTGAACTGCCAGTCTTCTGGTTAGCAGTCAAATGCCTTAGGCACTATGCCACCAGAGCTCCCCTTAGTGGCCAGCATTATGCCAGGCACAGGCATCAGGGTGTCTGCAGAGCTGACTCTGAGCTGGTGCTATTGGGGAGGAGAGTCCACAGGCCCAGGGGAACAAACACAAGATAAGGCCATCTGGTGAGAGCTTCCAGGTACTGCCAAGGGCTGGATTGTTCATAGGTTTTCTAAAGGAGCAAGATCAGTCCATGAGATTTCCAGAGGCTGAGATAGGGGACAGGAACATCTCGGAGAGGCAATATGCCCAAAGACCAATAGGCCTTTGGTAGATGAGATATATATTGAATACATGTAGGAGAAGCAGCAGCATTGAAGGTGGGTGGGGATGGGGAGGTGGTGATCAAGGTAAACTTTGGAGGCCAGGTCTAGAAATTGAATTCTGTCCCAAGGACAATGGGGAATTAGTGGAGGATCACACTAGCACAGTGAGGAGAGTAGACTAGAGGGATGGAGCCTGGAGAGGGAGAAGGAGGCTGCTCCATGATCCCTGATCTGGGGAGGAAGCCTGAGGTCCAAGCTAGGGTAGTGGCCCAGGGGTGGGACAGGGAATTGACAGTTGGGGTGAAGGTGAGCTGTCTCAGTTCAGAGTCTTACTCCTGCCTAGCCTCAACTCACTTTTGCTGGACTGCCTTGACAAGTGGGTGGAAGGGTGGCTAGTGTGTGACAGATGCTGAGGGCTTCCTGCCCCAACCCACCACCCCCAGCAGTGTTCCCTTATCCCTCCCTGGCCCAACTCTCCTGCTTGTGTAGAAGACAAGAAGATTTGAGCCTGAGATCTCTGGACAGGGCAGGCCCCAGACCCCCACCCGGCCTTTCTGTTTTCAGGACAAGCCATCTTCTCAAGCCTGCTTTCTCCACCCTGATTTTCCTACTCCACGTTGGCTTTCCCCTCCAGGTTGCCTTTTCCAGCTTCTAGGCTGCTGTTGGGAGCTCTGGTAGCATAGTGCCTAAGGCACTTGACTGCTAATCAGAAGGCTGGCAATTCAAACCCACCAGCCACTCCTCGGAAGGAAGATGGGGCAATCTACTTCTGTAGTGATACCGCCTCGGAAACCCAAGGAGGGGTCACTATGAGTCGGGTCCAACTTGACGGCACGTAACAGGCTGCTGTCAGTGGCATGTGCACTTTCTGCCAATGCCATCCCTGTCTCTGGGAGGGGGGAAATCCCAGAGCTGACATGAGGCCCACATATGAGGAGTGACTCAGGCATACAACCTACACATACCTGGATTGGGACAGACAGGTAGATGCTGTACTTTGCTCTGATTTCTCGTAACTGTTAAGTAATGTTGCATCTAATTGCCCCATAAAGCCACTTGCCACCTAGCCTAGCTTCCTCCTGTTGCTTCATTTCTCTCTTCCAGTTATGAGTGCAAATACCTGCAGAGCAGGGGTGCCACTCCTTCATTTCTTACCTGGCTCATTCATTCAGCTCTTGGAGTTCCGGCAGGGCTACGGCCAGCCCTGTTGAGTACTGGAGGCAGACCTGAACAAGCCTATTTCCTTCCTTGAGAGGCTCCTGGCCTTGTGGGGTAGGTGAACATGGACATGTGCTCCCAAGTGACCAGGACTTGTGAAGAGGATAAACTAGAGGATGACATGCTGCCAAGGGAAGGTGGCCACTGAGGCAGAGCCCCTCTCACCTGGATGCTGCGTTAACTTCCTAACTGATTTCCCTCCTTGCCTGTCCCCTAATCCATTCTCCATAAAGTAGCCAGAATGATCTTGCAAAATGTTAAGTCAGAATGAGTTACTTCTCTGCTTAAGGCCTTCCAGTGGGTTCCCATCCTGCCTGCTTAGAATAAAACCCAGTCTACTCTTTGTCTCCCAAGGACCTGTGTGAAGAGGTTCTGGCCTACCTCTGCTGCCTCATCTTTGGCATCTGTTCCTCTTAGTCCCTGTGCTCCAGACAAATGAACATCTTTTAGTTTCTTAATCATCTCAAGCTGGCACCTACTTCAGAGCTTTTGTACTAGCTGTCCTTCTTCTTGGGATACTTGGCTCCAATGTCATTTTCTCTGATCACCTCCTTGTAAAACAGCTTCTGTCCCTTTCTAATGCATTACCCTTTGTGCTTTCCTTATAGCATGAATACTATTTGAATATTTCTTTTTTTGATTGTGATTTGGGTGAAAATTTACAGAGCAAATTCACTATCCATACAGCAGTTCATATACACTTTGTCCCATGACATTGACCACAATTTACCACAATGCAACAGCTCCCCTCTGACTTCCTCCCGATAGTTACCTATTCCCTGTGTCCATCCCTCTATGCACTCCTGCCCCCTGAGCTGTCTCCCTGTGCATAAGCAGCCCTCCTTTCTCCCATGATTGTTCTCTCCAAGGAGTGTATCTACCTCAGGTA